GAAGAAAGGAAAAAAACACCTACACGATGGAATAAAGTTGCTCCATGCACCATTTTCCAGACAAAGTCGGATGGATGCTCCTACCAAGTAGTAACCAGRATCACAAGTATAAAATACCATATTTCCARCCCAGAAMTCATTGCCAGTGCGATAGCTATGTAKGGGTTTTCCAGGATCGCCACAGCTCAATAGGGCTATAATAATAAAGAAAAAATTATTTTTTAATTTGTGACCTTTGTTGACTTTTTGTAGTAGGTGGACTGATAGAAACAGTGTGTAATGCTGGTATTAATTTTCTCATTCGCTAATATCCTGAAGTAAACGTTTTTATCATATTAAAAATACCYATGAAATACCTATATTTCTCTCTTTCGAAAAGTTGTTATTCTTACTAGTGAAAATAACACAGTCGAGGTTGCTCTAAATATATTGGAAGTAAAAAATTGTATTTTGCGACATATTTTGCTTTGAATGATAAACACAATATCACATGGTCGCTTGGAGATACGATTTTATCTTGTCGTGCTGAAGATCTTTTCAATGATAAAATCCGTATCTCCGCGCGACCATGTAAAATCCTCTATATCATTCCTAACTCATCGATCACTATGTGCAAAAACGGCCGGTTACATTACACTGGTGGAATCGATATTGAACTTACAGACTTGTATTGTAGTTTCAGCCGTTCCATTCTCGTAGTTTCTAAAAAAGCATTTGTATCGTCCTTGGTCTTCAGGCATGAACGAATCAATGACCAACTCGCCTATAGTTTCTTTATTGGTCTGGCGAACTGTAGTGTTTACAGATAAAGGTCGNATTCAAAACATTTTCAATCATTCAGCCTTTTTTCCTTTATAAGATTTCAGATTTTTTTTCTTCAGATTTTTCACTTTTTTTGCCCCAGGAAAACCAAAAAGACTAGGATGAAATACCTTATAATTTGGTTTTATTCCGCAAAAACATCATTAGGTAAAGTCTACCGTAAAGTATGATTTAAAATTATAATTACCTGAATTCACAAGTTTCGTCCTCTGTGAAAGACATGTAGTGCGTCTGGACGTAGTACCTTTCACTTGCAAGAGTTTCGGCCAGCTAGAAAATCGATAAAAAAAAGCTTGAGAAATTAATACGTTACATCCCGAAATCGTATAATTATTACCCAGTAATGATTTCATTGCCATATACGTAAAAGCAAGACGACGGAGAAATCATTAGGTATCAGTCGATCGGCAATGTGAGGCGACACCATTTTGTGCAGCAAAGCATGATGGGAATTGTGATCAGCGCGCTTTTTAGAGTCCCTACAAATTATTCCTAAAAGCAGTTTTTATGTTTTCTTTGCAGAAAAGGCACAACTACTTCTATTTTTGCAAAAGGATATCACAAAAACGACTTTTAGGGCTGTTTTAGCGAGCATGAAAAAGTGAGACCAAGACATCTCCCATCATGCTTTGCTATATAAAATGTCCCTGCACATTATACGTCACTGCCTGTTGAATCCATGGCCATTTTGTTTCCCGGGCAATGATCTTATTCTATTGGTCTACAAGCTATTTGTCAAATAAAAGAAAATATGGTTTAAGAACGAGGAAACAATGAACATTGTGTTATTCCTCGAATCACAAGAAACCTTACAAACTAGTGAAGGATAACAGAACAAGGTAAAAATGCGTGTTTTAGACTCCCATGCCTTCAGTGAAGTAATTCTGTTATAAATCCCCGACTAAAATGTGTCAAATCCCCGGTACTCCCCGAGGGTTGGTGATCAGTTAACCGAGCATCAGACGCGACACATTAAATAGGTTATTTCTTTTTCTTATCTAAATTTCCTTGCCTTAGTATAGCTAGGGATTTTTGCAGTTCTGCTGTCCTTGATCAGCATTTCTCCATCAGTATCAACATCAGTCTCACTAGTCCACCTCCCTGCGTACCG